ACTGTCTGTGAGGGAGTTTTTAGTCAATAAACAAATAACTGCATTGGAACACCCTACCTACTCACCTGATCTGGCCTCCAATGACATTTACCTTTACCCAAAGATAAAGAAAATAATAAAAGGAAGACGTTTTGATAATATTCAGGGCATTAAGAGTAATATGATGACAGCTCTAATGGCCATTCCAGAAAAAAGAGTTCCCAAATTGTTTTGACAGGTGGACTAGGTTCTGGCACCAGTGCATAGCACCCCAAGGGGAGTACTTCAAAGGTGACTATAGTGATATTCAGCAATGAGGGATGTAACACTTTTTCTAGGATGAGTTGGTGAACTAAATTGTCAGACATTGTATTTGTGAGAGTTCACAAAGTAACATAAGTACACTGGAAAATAGAAATTAAAGTTATTCTTTATCTTGATTCTGTATTATTACTATTAATTATAATCAGTTGTGAAAATCTCAGGTTTAGTTCAAAGCAAGTAATGATCTTCTGCAATTACTGCTATTATATAAACCATCATATAATATTATGAATTATGTATATATTTCATTTACTCTTTCTTATTTTTCAAACATACTTCTCCTCAAAACATATATTCATTGGTAAAAGATAACTTTCTAGTGTAGAAGTCTTAGGAAAAAAGTATGTATCTCAAATTTATCCTAAACATTCAGCGGTCTATGTTACCCTTCCTTGTTCAGAGAAAAACAATGTGTCCAGATATCAGTAGCGAGTCGCTTTCTCTCTAACATAAACTTTGAGGTTTTATAGTTAGGAACCTGTTAATACTAAAGCAAAATGAATATTCCCCGAGTTCTTTAAATTAAACATCTAGAGTGGATCATTGGCTCCCAAACTTTATTGCACATTGGAACCAAGTAGGGATAATTTAATAATACCAATGCCTGGCTCCCACTCTCACACTGTGATTTAATTAGCATAAGGTGTGGCATGAATATTGGAATTTTTAATGACTTCCCAGTTGTTTGCAACATATAAGAGTTTGGGACCTTCTGGTCTAGAGCCTATACTTTCCTCTCTGCAGAAAGTATTTGCCTTAAACGTGTCAAGAAAAAAAATGTTGTCATTAAATAAAAACCAGAATCACCTGGGAAATTTAAAAAACTGCTGTTGTATAGGTCTGAGACAGTGGCTCATGCCTGTAATCCCACTGCTTTGGGAGGCTGAGATGGAAGGATAACTTGAGCCTAGGAGTTGGAGGCTTCAGTGAGTTATGATTGCACCACTACACTCCAGCCTGGGTGACAGAGCGAAACACTGTGTCTAATATATATACATATATACACACCCTGATATGTAAGCCCTGCTCCCAGAGATTCAAATTGAATTGGCTTACTGTGAAACAGGCCACAATTATCCCCAGTGATTCTAATGTATATTTAAGATTGAAGATCAAGAATAACTGAGTTAAATGTCCCACATATCTGTGTAAAATTATCCAATCTATATAACTACAATTCCATATCTTAACACCTCTTCTACCCTAAAACCCTCAAGTTCCTAGATGCTCACTTGGAGAAACTCAGTTCCAGGTGGTTGTAGTACTGTCTTTTCTTCTACTCCACCAACTCCCCACTCTTCTTCTTCCTTCTCTTCCTCCTCTTCCTCCTCCTCTTCTTTCTTTTTTCCTCTTGCTTCCTTCCGGCTTCCCAAAATTTCACAGTGAAATTTTCTATCCACATGATAGAACTGAGCTTTGCTGTACCTTATCTTCCCATTCATCCATCTCCTCAGTAAGCACCACACACAGTATGGAGGCACTGTGCCAGCACTTACTAGCATCCAGAGATGAATCTTAAAATATCAAGCCTCTGGGAGCTAATTTTCTTGAACAGTTAGGTTTTATTTATTTATTTTTTTCACCTCTAGAGAAACTGTAATGACTTAGACTAAGAAAATGAGCAATTTCTGGAGAGAAATCAGCATTACTTTGGTCACAGTTGAGGCTTTGTGTCGTTTGTATGTGTATTAGGATTCACCTCAAAAAACACTATTCCATGACTGTTGCCCTATTATCTCACCTATTGGTCACTCAAATGGTAAAATTTTGGACCAAGGGAAGAAAGATCAAGATAATTTAACCTTATGAATGTGGGGAACTAACTGTGGAAAAAAAAATTTTCTTTCTCTCTTTCTCTTACTTTTCAAAAAAAGGTGAATTTTAGATGTTTATGTTTAAATATTATATTAAACCTGTGGTATGGCCATGTAAATATTTTTTATTATTCCACCCCTGCAGACTTGTAATGCCTTCCTCAATTTGTTGTTGACAATAGCCTTTGCTCAATTACTGATAATATAGTGGATCTAATATTTCTCTCTTCAGTAAATTTGAAAATACAATATTTTCCAATTACAGCAGCACTTGTCAATAACAAATCAAAAATGAAAATTGGCTCTTATATATATGTTAGATATTTTAATGTTATTTTTATAATTATATGTCTTTACATAATTAATATATATTATACTTAGAAAATATTTTATATTTGTTTACATTAGTTATTAATGCTTAATTAGGTCATCTTCACATGACCAAAATGCAATCTTCCTTCCTAGTACCCCCAAGACCTTTTATTCTTTCCCCCATGGGGTCATTTAGTGAATTTCTTCATTGTAATTCCATGTTGGACGTTAATAGACTCCTGTATTTATAAATGCATGTAAGTGTGCACGCACATATGCGTGTGTGTTTGTATTTCTAAATCTGGTGACCTTAGCTTTATTCTTTGACAGTCTGAAGGTTCTATCAAGACTCTGTTGATAATGCTCTTGATCTACATTTACATTAAGTACATTCAGTAAAGAAAAAAACTTATGTTTCTTTTTTTAAATCAATGGCTCATTTTAAAACTAGCTGATTATAAAGAGAATACTTTTGAATTCAGTATGACTCCGGCTGCAACAGGAAATGTCAGTAACTGTTGAGTTTGTAACTTTTCTTCAGCAATGACAAGAAAGTTTTATTTATTAGAATATTATGCTAAAAATGTCGCAGCTAGAATTATGTTAAGATTTATCCATGAAATTTAGTTTGAGATTGACCAGAAATTAATTTACCTTTAAAAATTATACTCTTCATGTTAATAATATTCAGAAGTCAGTTTCTGGATAAACTAAATTAGCTATAGCACTTTTAAAAAAGATATGTGACTTTTTTCCTTAATCTTTATAAATACATATTACGTGAATACCAAATCATAAAGAATTATCACTTGTCATTACTTAAAAAGCTAGACTTACCATATTTGGCTAGACTTACTGGCTAGACTTACTAGACTGGCTAGACTTACTATATTTGTTCTGTTGCAACCTTCGACACAATTTCCCCTCACACTTTTGAGAAAAACACCAAAAAGTTTCACCAAAATTAAGTGGTAGCCCCAGTGGTTTTGTATATTTATACTAACTAAGATATTCTCTCCCCACACTCTGACCTCTGGGGAGAGTTTTACACCAATCTGGTGTTTTAACACGTATACACCATCAATATTTCAATTGACCAAAACTTTTCCATCTGTGAGCCCACTGAAGACAAAATCTCTAAGGAGAAGGCAAAGACTGGGATCTCCATGTTTCCTGGGGATCCTTGAATTAGAATTCTTCATCTAAACTCACATTTAAATGACAATCTCAGTAATAAACTCATGTTGTTATGCAATCTTTTTGTTTGTTGGGTTGATTTGTTGGTCTGTTTAGCCTTAACCTAGCTTCTTGCAATGCTGCTGGACACAGTAGATTCATGTCAGTTTATTCACAAAAGGAGTTTATGTGCTGGATAACACAAGTTCATTTGGCTGGTAAGTCACGGAGTGTCTAGGTAAATTTGAAGAGCAAACTAATCAGTTGTTCAAGATGGATCAAAAGTAGTTCATGGCATATTTTTATAAGATTGAAATTGTCATATGAGGCAGGTTACAGGTGTTCTACAAATGTAATACTTATGTTTTCCTTATAATTAAACTCACCAAGTATATTTTTAAAAGGTCTTTAATGATGTTGAACAGACATCATTTTGTTGTTTCATATCAGAAGATTCTGCATCAAAATAAGAATAAAGTGATTCAGAGAAACATACAGAAATCCTGAAAGAATGGCACCTGAAACCAAGATGGTGGTGAAAGCCTGATAATTTATCTATCCTTTGTGTGACTGTTTCTTCTCAGAGTGAAGGAGAAGCTACAAAGCACAATCTCTATTCATAGTAGCAGTTAAATGATGTCAAAACCGATTTGGCTTTCATCTAAACTGTTTCCCAAATACCATGAACTTTGATAGACCTACACTGTATCTACACATAGACAATTCTGTTTCCAATGAACAGTGGGACAAGTTTTAACCATCAGTATACAGACCTATAGACTCACCTTGTCCTATCCCAAGTGCAAATCCCCATTGCTTAATTAGCATAATCAATGGGCTTTGCCCTTTTCTGGAACTTAATATCCCGTGACATTTCCCCTTTAGTGAACTACTCAGTGAATTTATTCAATGGTATGTGTTTCCTTGACAAGCATGCTAACTAAATGCAGCTTTGTAATTTTTTAATTGCAAAAATAATATAGTTTTTCTGCAAAGAGCATAGTCATTTATCTCTTAAATTTAAACAATTTCCTAGTAAATCTTAATATTTCTGGATCCAGGTAAGAGTAACCCCATCCCAGATGGTATATGATTCTAATTTTAGACTTCTACTCAGCCACCTTTTTTATTTTTGAGTAATTCACATGTGTACATGTTTCTGGAGAGTTGAAAATGGAGAAGTTGAGGAAAAGCTAGAGTCAAATAAGGGAGGAAAGTAATTTAAGGACTGTAAGCATATCTATTTTTAAAAAATGCCTAACAGAAATCATTTCATTCTTTTATACTTTGTTTCTTGGTAGCAACATTTTCTTTCTATCATAAGATATTTAAAAACATCTGAGCCTCTTATTTTAAGTTTCTCTCTTGCATTTACATAAAACACAAATAGGCCAGTGATTTTCTGTGCTTGTTTTAATACCTCATATTGACATTAAATTCATATATTAATTAGAAGACATAATATTGTAAATGACATCCAGTGTTTCAAGATTGAATTCATTTTCAAAAGATACCTTTTTATGAGTGGTAATGAAAATACATATGTGACTAAAAGCAGAACACTGATTCTTTTTAGGGGAAAAAAATCTTAAAGTTATCCAGAAAAGAGAGAGATTGAAGTAGAACATTGTTTTTAAATATGCATGTAATTAATTGTTGAACTTTGTATTGTGAAGTTTAATTATACATGTTCTAGTCATTTGGGTTTTGAAATGCTAGGTAAAATACTAAGTGAAAGATGTAAGAAATCGATATTTTCCTTCCAGCAGTTTTCTTTCAGCTATATAATAGCTTTCTTAGTAGGCGTGTAAGAAAGCTACTGATATATTTGCCTTGATCTACAGGAAAATGAACATTCTATAAAGGGTAGATCTATTAATTAGAGGCCCACACAGTTTTCCTTCTTGCTGGTGTAATCGTTAAATTGATTTTTCCAGTCCATCATGTAATTGCTCCAGCGATGGAATCCTGCTTTCCACTCTCGTTCTGCTTCATCAATATTTCCTGTAAAACACAGAATAAGTTGTATTAATCTAAATTTTAATCTCTGTTTACACTAATTGAAAAATAATTTTGATTACTGATGCCATTTTCTACAAGTACACTGCACAGCAATTTTTTTTCTTTTTCACTTATTCTTCATTACTTATTATCAATTTATCTTTCTACCGTAACACAAATTTTAATAAAAATTTTACATGTATTAATATATCAAAATGCAAAAGATGTATATGTATAAAATGCATGTAAGGTATATGAATATATAAAATGAAAAAAATTAATATATTATTGTCTAAAGTTACATTACTTTGTTTTTAGTTTTTGAGCAAGTATGTAGGTATTACTCCATTTTCTCGACCTCTTTTAACATAACAAAAATCACATCTAATGAGTCTCATTTATGTATATATAATTAAATAGCAGAATGTTTCTCTGATGAACATTGCATATGAATATAGTTGTCTTTTGATATATGTGGGGTACTAGTTCCAGAACCTTCCATGGATGCTCGACTCTGAAATAAATGGTGTAATATCTGTTTACAACCTATGCACATCCCACCGTATACGTTAAATCATCTCCAGATTGTTTATATGTCATACAATGCACATGCTCTATAAATAGTTGTGATTGTGTATTGTTTAGAGAATAATGATAAGAAGATTGTACTTGTCCAGTTTAGATGTCATTTTTTATCAAATATTTTTTATCTGCAGTTGGTTGAATCATGGATTCAGTAACTATAAATACAGAAACCACAAATACATAGGACACACTGTATTTACTAATGCATAAAGGTGACTTTGTAATTATCATTCCATATATATTTTACCAACATTAGAATACATTTTAATTTCAAACAATACTTCGTTGGTTGTTTCAGCCACCTACTGTGTAAAAGCACTTTATTAATTGCTTTGTAAACTGGAAAGATGACTAAGACAATCTCTGATTTCAAGTAGTTTGCAAAATATATGTATGTCAGGAGAAAGGAATGTTTAGCCAGAAATAAAGAGGCAGTGAATCATAAAAAGTCTATGTACTTCAGAAAATTTGAAATACTGATTTATTTGGAAGTGTATTATATTAAATGATACACTTTGTGAACTATTGACAATATTAAATTACAAAGTTTATTTTTTCCTGATATAAATAGACATAATAAGACTAAAAGATGGTTAATATTATTTAAATCTATAAGCATTTTATGCATTTGTGGTTTTCTCACTTTTTAAACCTTTAGAAAACTAAATTATATAGTCAGTAAGTAAAATTAAAGTTTAAGTAATTTTAAGAACTCTGAAAATAGAGATTGGTAACTTCTTTTAATATATATATTTCCATTAGAAATCTTTGAAATTAATTATAATCTGTAAGATATTGATTTAGTGGAGAAAGTTCAGTGATTCATTATAAGTTTATTTAAAAATCAAAATGTTTAAAACATTAGTAAAACCATTAAAAATATCCCTTGCAATTTTAGGATATATTTAGGTTTGAATGCTCATAATACTTGGGCATAGAACAAATATTTAAGAATTTATATAAACTGTCCTAGTTACATGTAACAATGTCCCTTAAAAAGGTCCATGACTATAATTTATGTGTGAATAATAGAACTTTTCTAAAAGGTCATACAATATTAGATTTGGAAGAAAGATGTTAAATATCATACCAAATGATCAGTTTTTATGTTCTTTTAAAGTAATAATTAAATGTTTGAAACATTACACACTAAGAAAACTAGAGTCCAGAAAAACAAAATTTTTTGTAACAAATAGACTTCGATAGTTTAGCGTTTAGACCATGAATTTTAATACTTACAAAAAAACCCCTGGATCTGATATTATTTTCTTGTTCATGTAATGATATCAAATCCATTGATTCATATAAATATACATTTATTTTCCATGTGTCATAATCAAATGTCTATACAACTTAGTGTTTTGAAATAGTTTTTAGTGCATAATGCTCTGTATATCCAGGTACATTTCTCCTTTAGAAGTAGTGGGCATTGAGACAATAAAATAGAAAACATTTAATTATTTTTAACAAAATCCTGAGGAAGTGAACACAACATAAGAAAATAAAAAGTTTGAGTACTACATATTCTCACTCATAAGCAGACCCTGAACAATTATCATATTATTATAAGAAAAAAATTGGCAGTAGTGGGAAGTTGCCAGGGGAAGGAAGGGGCACACTTCATCAATAAGGGTACCTGATCTCAAACCATGTGAAGTGGGGACAAAAGTGAGGCTCAAACTTTATCTATACAATGACCATTTGTATACCTAACCCCGAATTGTACCTTATATCTTTTAAAAAACAAGAAGAAGAAGTTTGAGTCCCATGAAATAAAATCTCAAATTAGAACTTATACTCCTTCTCCTCCCTTTCTCTTTTCTTCTCATTTCATATACGCTTGTTTATTGCCAGGATGATAAAAATCAAATCACAAGTCAATGTTTACATTATCAACATCAGCAATATCAGAGATTAAAAATCATGCAATTTAAGTGACTTGCATGTTATAAACAAAAATATAACACTGATACATTACAAATACTGTTTAAACTTGATTAGCAAATTTTAATTTATTTGAAATTTGAGGGAAGAAAGTCCTGTACAACGGACAATATGTATGCCTTATAGTTGATTAAAACATAATTATGAAGCCATAATGCTCTAATACTATGAGTTTTCTACATTGCAATTAACCAAAATGCAGGATTTTAACTCAAAGTACTAATGATAAGGACATCAACAAAAAAATTGCAGGATTTCAGAGATACCAAGGAAGAGTAACACTGCCCCAAGATGTTTCTCTTCATGCTTGGTGGTGTCTGAAAGTTCACAAATTTGGTGGTAATAGCAACTCTAATATCATTCCCTAAGTGTAAATATTCCTTGTGAGTAAAGAAAAAATAATAACATTCTCAGCAACTTGGAGAAGAAAAGGAAATGTGTAAGAAAGATAAAAAGAAACTATAGATTTAACACCAAATTCAAATGTCAAATATTGATCAATCTTGTCAAATACTGGAGTGATGTATTCTTCAGGTAGATTAGCCCTTGACACCTCTTAATTTGTTTAACCACAAATAACTCTAACCTGTAGAGTTTTATTATTATTTCTTCTTTCTAGTGGTAATATTTTGTGTTTGGGACTCTGTGAACAAAATGGAAGTATTACTACACTACATTAGGATTTTAATTAATTTTTATGAAGAAAAATTGTGAATCAATTGATGGACCTTTCTTAACTTTTATGTAATGAGTATAAATAAAGTCCTACTTATTCATACTATATGATGGTTCTATTATACAATAATATGTGAAAAGGTCTTTTTCTCATTCATTATAGTAACAATGCAACACATACTATTCATCCATACTCTTCACTCATTCATCCAAATGACTTACGCATTTAAGTACTATATGTAAACTATAGTATTAGAGAAGAGAGAAAATTAAAGGACCAAGGTCAAATACGTAGTGTAAACATTAAAGAAAGATTGGAATGTGAATAGTATGAATGGTAACAACCAAGTTCAAAAATAAATAAGTAAATATATGTATAAATAAGATTAAAAACTTCAATATCAATAAAACTTACAATTTTGACAACTTATTTTTCATAAAGAGGATCACATTAAAATATAAGAAGTAAAAAATTATCCAAATTATAATTATGTATTAAGATAAATATATTCATTCTTGTAGAATTTAACTCATCTTTATTATTTCTTAAATAGAGTAAAAATAGAGATATTATGGGCCTTATTCACATTAACTATACAGTAAGAATTTAGTCTACTTAAAATAAACTTAGAGACAGATATTTTATCTTTGGCCGAAAAAAGTGTTTCAAAAGCATTTTTATAGTAACTACTACTCCCCCAAAAACTCATTAAATTTGTATTTGCAAAATCAAAACTGCATAAGTTATTTAGGTCAAAATTTCAGTGATCAAATAAACATGTCTGCTAAAAATTTTATTTAAGACTTACATGTGCAGGATATATAGAGATATTTAACCAACAAACAAATATCTCTAAAGCAAATCTTTGTGAACACGAGAAATTTCAACTTGCAAGTGCAGATATTTTAGAAGAAAAGGTAAAAAAAATATATATATATATGCACAGTTGACCCTTGAACAACACTGGTTTGAACGGTGTGGATCCACTTATATGCAAGTTTTCTTCAACCTCTACCATTCCTGAGGCAGCAAGACCAGCCCCTTGCCTTCTTCCTCCTCCTTTTTAACTACTCACTGTGGAGATGATGAGGGTGAAGATCTTTATGATGATCTACTTTTGCTTAATGAATACTAAATGTAGTTTCTCTTCCATATGATTTTCTTAATAACATTTTGTTCTCTCGCTTACCTTATTGTAAAACTCCAGTATATCATACAGATAACATACAGCATATGTGTTAACTGACTGTTTATGTTATCAGTAAGGCTTCCAGTCAACAGTGAGATATTAGTTATGTTTCTGGGGATTGAAAAGTTATAAGTGGATTTTTCCACTGTGCAGGGCTCAGCTACCCTAGCCCCCATGTTATTTACGGGTTAATTGTAAATGAAAACTTATGGGCTTTTTCCAAATTTGCATTCAGAGGTATATTTACTGATATATATTTTTATACTGCAAAAAATAGAATATTTTTAAAAGCATAAATAAAATATAAAATATGAATAAAATTATTTTAAAAGAAGCTAGCCTAAACCTGATACAAACAAACCAGCAAATAAAAGCAGTTATTTGGAAGAATGGCACTACCTCAGAAATGAAATTATTATGTAGATGCCATATAATACTCTTACAGAGTCTGAGGAGACTATGTAGAAAATCTCTTGTATGTAGTGAAAGCTAATACATTTATGAATCAATGACCAGAACATGTCAGTCTCACATTTACAATTACTAAATGGCTCTGCTTAAGATAGCATTTAAATTCCTTAGCATGGTGCCCAAGACACTTTATCTCTT